GAGCATTTACCGGGATTGGGTATTTATCTATGTATATACAATTATATAATTACACGTATACAATTTTCAAACTCATGGACAAGAATTTGGGAGAATCGGCCTTGACAAAAAAATGGCCAATTCACAGAATTCCCACTTTTTTTTCTCTCAGACATCACACAACAACCAAACCCACTACTTTCCTACATAAATCATCAACCAAAACCCATTTTCCAATTGCCAAAATCCTCCCTATTTCAACAGAATTTTTGGACAACCCAAGCCCATTTCATACAACCACTTAAACTCACAAATCAGCACTTAATCAACCAATTCTCGGAGATTAGAGGAGCTAACTTACCAAAAATTCCCAACAAGCAAAGTTGGAGCTGGCGGTAAAAGGAAGACCGACGGGAATTGGAGGACTTCCACGGGATTGCTAGAAATTGAAAGAAATAAAGATTAGGGTGAACCCACAGACATCAAGGGTGAAAAAAAGGGAATTCATGGCTGATTTTACCAAGAAAAACCGGAGCTTATAACCAGCAATAACCGGCGGCATAGAGGGGAAGAGGTAGCAGATCTGGACAATTCTGCAAGGGGAGAAGATTTCCAAGCTTAGATCTGGTTCTTGAATCAGAAAAGAAAGGCAAAATCAGCTTCCTTACCGGTTTTTCTCAAGTGGGTGTGGTCGGGCTTGCTTGATTCCCCTTTTTTTTTTTTGTGTCCGCTGCAGCAGGGAGAAAGAACAGAGCAGACGCGAAAATGGCTGGGAAGAAAGAAAGAAAGAAGAAAAAGAAAAAGGGAAAAAAGAAATGAGTTAGCCGGCCTTATCCAAAACCTTTTGACCCCTTGACTTTTGAAAATTGATGATTAAGCTCAACAATATGATTTTCTCACAAATAGGTCCCTAGCTCACACTTATTTGTTCTTGAAATTTTTGGGGTATTACACTATAATACCAAGTTTGAGCATTACCGCGAAGAGTGGAGGGAAAGATTTTGCACATCAATGCATCAGAAGCATTCTGAGCTTACATACAAGAGTAGAAGGCATGGAGGTGATCATCTGGATCCTTCGTCCCATCATATGTCTTGAGTTGAGGTATCTTGAAACCAGTAGGATAAGGTTCCAATGTAATATTAGTGTTCAGAGGATGAGGTATGGAATCAGTGTTGTGGTGTGAAGGTGGGGTACCTCGTTACTCGGCTACTAGTTTTTCTAAATTGGCCAGACGTCATGTGACAACATCAGGTAAAGGTTGCTGAGCTGGGGCTACGTGAGATTGACCCTGAGACTCATTAAGAGCAGGAACATGTTGAACTGGTTGAGGGTCTTGCTGTTGAACAAGGGGTTGTTGAGTAGGGTTGAGTAGGTTGATGAAGGGATCGCTAGGATTATTTTGTGTTAGGAGCTGAGCCAAAACTAACTGAAGAACACCGAATTGCTGTTGCATGGCAGCAAGCTGAGCTGTAACTACATCTCCGTGATTAGTAGTGGAAGCTGAGTTGTGGGTTGAATTGTGAGGTTGGTTTTCATCTCCTCCTTCTGCATGTTCAACAGGAGGGAATAGGTTTGGGATCTAAGGTGGGAGGTGAGGTGGAAGGTTGTTGGGGAGTTGACCTTGTCCGAGAGGTTGAGCTTGATTTCCAGCTCGGACTGATCGAGTGTTGACCATAATGAGGAAGCAACAAGAAAGCCTTTAGTTCGGATTCCCACAAACGGCGCCAATGTAATTGCACCAAACCAGAGATCCTTCTTCAGTCCGCGTCTTCACTTCGGATGAACCTGCAAAGCCTCAAGGTGGGTCCTCAAGGTAGACACTCCAATGCTTAAGTCAACAATAATCGGGTCTACCTCTAGACTAATCAAAAAGGAGCTTTAGGTTGGTTTCAATTACCTTTTTGAGGTGGCCCCTAGGAGGTATTTATAGATATTCATGAGGTGTCCACGTGGCTTACTTAACAGGATAATCGGAGTGTGACGTGTCCCTTCAGGATAAATTTGGGACCGGGAAATTGCGTGTGACAAATTAGGTATGGGCATGTCCATTGTATTTATCATGTAACCATTTGACTGGGAAATGCTGGATTTAACTTCACTTCGGCTATTAAGGAATTGTTGCAGTACGTCCGAGATTCAAAACCTTAGACCTATCCTTACATAAGGAGAAATGGTTCTTAAAATTGTTTGTGCTAATAACAATTGCATCTATAACTTTTGTCCTCTATGATTGCCAGTATTGTACTGAAGCTTTAACCTTTTTTTTTTTTTT